CTTGGATCGTGACGTTCCTTGGTGTGTATACTACGTTACATTCCGCGTACTGAAGGGCCACATGCTGTAGGAATATGTATCATATGGCGCACCGCTGTCTTCCTCGATTGCCTACTCAGGATCACGCCTGCAATTGTATCTGCATATGCATACTCGTTTGGTCCTCACGAAGCTCGATGGTGCGTGTGTTGCCATCTTCTGCTCAGCGTCCATGGTCTGCCGTTAGTGTTGAATCTTGATGACGTCCCAAGGCGTCGATCGGGATGCACTATTCGCTCCATATTCAAGAAAGTTACCACTGGATGGTAGCTATCTTCGTCTGGCTGTGGATGTCGTTATCTTTTGGATTTCAGGGTGAACCACACACTACTCGTATCTATACTGCGACTCGGGGGCAAATGGTGTTATGAACATGGATCGTTTCGCGTACCTGCTCCTTTGTTCCCTCGTTGATCAGGTTCTGACGGACATCTTGGGTCTGTGCTTTCTTAGTCTTGTGCGATGTGAGTGAGGGAGATGTTACAAGAAGCCACTGAACGTTCGCACTCTGAGATAACATACGCCATACATTGTGTTAAATCTCGTGTGCGGTCGTCACCAGTGTCGCGCTCGCTTTCGGCGATCCTGGGCCTGCTCCGGCTCATGCGCGTCCTGCACGCAGCCGATGCTCCGTCCGTCGCCCTCGCAGCACGACCAGATGAAGTTTTCAGGATACTGCTCCCGATTTTCACGGGTGTCCATAGGCCCGTGACAGTCCTCGTCCCAGTCGACGAACATCCTCTCGTTCACTTCCAGAAAACCTGTTTCCGTGACAAAGATAGCGCAGTGTCAGCATGAAGAGGCCCGCTACAGCGATAGCACAAGCGTACCGGGATGGTACATGCACTCCCCGCGGCGCCGAGGCGTCCCCGCGTCGAACTCCTCGTTGCACTTTGCGCAAATCTGCCACCGCGGCACTAGCATGACTCTGTCGTGCACCCCGAGGGCGCTGTGCTCCTCCTCCTCGGCATCGTCGTCGTCGTCCTCCTCCTCATCTTCCTCCTCTTCGCCCTTCACAGGCACAGGTTGCATGGCGACGAGCATCCGGAAGACGCGTTCCGTCACGGCGGGAACGCTGTCAACGAGCGCCGCAAACGCTTCACGGACGCGTTGTTCGGGCACGGTGGCAATGGCGACCTGCAGCTGCGTGCGCGACGCGTTATCGAGCGCGTATGGCGCGTCCAGCTCGTCTGCGCTCCCGTCGGACGGGGTTGCGTGGCCGTTCTGCGCGTCTTCGTCTTCGCTCGAGTCGCTGCCGCTGCTGATCGAGATGACCTCGACGTCGGGAGGGACTGGCATGACAGAGAAATCACGTAGGAGGAGAGGTCAGGGGAGTCGCAGCTGAGCTTCTTGTACTTCGAGACTGTTGAGGGTGGTCGAGTGGTGGAAACGGACGCGTACAGCTTGGCTGGCCGAGAGCGTGACGCGACACGCGTCTTCCGGCACGTGAGCGTGTCAACTATGCTTGTCGTTTGGCCTACTGAAGTAGTACTTTGAAAGCTCGTTTTCTCATGACGACACTGGCTCGGAAGCAAGACCTGGCCAGAGCACTACACAGGCACCGAACGCAGCTACAGGCGTTGTAACCCCATAACATTTGTCACCGGCCCACGTGGACACCACATCGGACTATGCAGAGTCCACCTGTTCTCCGTTCGACTTGCCCTTATACCTGGGCAACTTCCTGTTGGGGGTGAACAAACTTTCCGCGTCAGTACCTAGATTACGATATCCATGGATATCGCTCACCCTTCTTCGGCGGTGAGATCTGGCATCAATTCGCTCTGGCCTTTGTGACCAGACCATTTCGGCACGCCGTCAGGGACCTCCATGACACGCTCTCTGTAGAAGATGTGAGCGGTGGGCTGGAACTCCCGAGGGACCTTCCCGTCTTTGAACTTGAACGAAGAGGGGTACGCAAGGACGGTGTTGCGTCCTTCATCAAAAACCGAGGAACGACATTGGTTGCATGATACCTAGGAGATCTGCATAAGCCCACCATTCGTTGAAGGGGCAAGAGAATCTGTGCGTACCTTGCATGGAACGTCATGAATACCTTTTCGCTGCTGCGTCGAGAAAAAATGGAGGCTGTCACCTTCATTCTTCACCATCCGGACAGACGTCTGTGCCATGGCTTAGCTACTATGAATGAATGCGATACATCGACACTGTTCTCACCTTGGGAAATATGACGGCCCATTGGAACGGTGCGCCATGAAGGTGCTGACATTGCTTGCAGTGGCAATGCTTAGCGTCTACGGGGTCCCCATGGAACTCGAATGCGATGTTGCCGCACCAGCATTGCCTGGTGGAAGCGATAGGTGAAGCGGCATGCCCATAGGAGCTTTCATGACATGAAGGCCTACTCACGAGTAGTACTTGGGCTTGAACAGGTTTCCTTCGCTTTTCCAGTGATATGGGGGCTTGTTCATGAAGTCTTCCTCCTGGTCGCCTCCATGCTGGCTAGGTATCGACCCCCGCCATCCCGTGTCTGGAACTGATTTGTTAGTTGGCCTCAACAGTGGGTCGTCCTCAGGAGGCGGATGGTGAACGTCAGAGTGAGAACCGTCTGGTTGAGATCTATGTGCCTCTGGATGAACATTCGGGTGTACTCGATCTTGATTCGATGACATGGTCTAGAGGCGATAGGACGTTGCTATTCCCAAGTCGCAAAGGGCCGCGCCTACGCGTGGGTGTAGCTGGGGTTATTCGACGAACGAGTACTAGTGGAGGGTGAGACTGAGTATGCGAGCCCTGTCCTGGCAGCCAGTAGCAGGGAGGCGTACGGAGATCGGTTCATGACGTCCTGTCAGCCACACTGACGTCATTACCAGCACGACGCCAGTGCACGTGATCGCGTTCCCAACGCGTCACCCCAGACGCCCGTGAGTGACGCTTCCCATCCAACCCTAGACGCTGTCAGCTTCGGACGAACCACCACCATCTCGACGACGACTGCGACGCTCAGCCATGCCTCTGTTGTCCAAGCTTCTTCCTTCTGTTGTATCGGCATACGGGCTACAGTCAGGTACCGCGTTTATTCGCCGTCGTTGCACAACTTGAATGATTCTCACCGGCTATATGCGTTTCCAGTCCTCGCCCTGATTTTTGTGCCGCAAGCCAACGAGATGTATTATGACCTGGGGGGCTCGCTGGGCTTTATGTCTACTACCCTTGTATCTCTGTACTACCCGCATCTCAAAGCCAAGTTCTGGGACCGGCTGCCCACGGCTACCCTCCCACCGATCACGCATTTTGCCCCGAGACAGATATTGCTCAACGCGGCTATTCTTGCATGGACGACGAGGTTGGGCACATTTCTCTTCTCGGTATGTATCCTGTGCCGTGATACCTCTACTTGAGCTGATTGTGCTGCATGTGCAATGTACGACATAGAGAGCTATGAAGGCAGGCGGCGACTCTCGCTTTGACGAGGTGAAGCACCAGCCCGCTAAGTTCACCGCCTTTTGGATGGCGCAAGGTACGTACTTAACCCTATATGTACCACCAGAACTGACGCGGTGCGTCGCCAGCAACTTGGGTCTTCGCGGTAGGCCTACCTGTGTACATGGTGAGCACAAGTAGTACTATGCTCCCGGTGGATAGTATCCAGGAGGAGTAGTTGCAGTAGCATAGTATCAACGCCTTTGCAGGTCAACACGCTGGCTCCCGCCAACCACCCGAGACTGGGTCCTTTCGATTACCTCTCGGTTGCCCTTTGGGCCGGCTCTTGGCTCTTCGAGATCGGTACGTAATATCTCGCGGTCATGGTCAGGTTTCGAGTACGCTCGTTACTGATCGTCATGACCCTTGCCAGTGGCCGATCACCAGAAGAGCAACTGGCGTAAGGCGAAGAACAACAAGGAACACGACGAAAAATTCATCAGCAGCGGCTTGTGGGGAGTCAGTCGTCACCCCAAGTACGTACACATACTCTCGTAATGTGGCATTGTTCTCAGAAAGGTCTAATCGCATCGATTATCCTCAGTTACGTTGGCGAGGTGGGCTTGTGGACCGGAATGTGGCTGCTGTCGATCCGCTCTCTTCGTACGCCGTTCTTCCCGACCGGCGCGTGGCTGATGGCTGGTGTGAGCCCTCTCTTGACCTGGTTCCTCTTGACACGTGTGTCTGGTGTCCCACCTCTGGAGGTGAGTTGGTTTCCCGTGATCGGGTGCTGTGGGACCCCACTTGAGTCCCGGCAGCGCTAACCCCTTCCATCATCAGGCTGCGGGGAACAAGAAGTTTGGGAACGACCCTAAATGGCAAGAGTACAAGCGGTGAGTCTCCCGTTATCGTCGTGCGTCGCTTCTGGGAGAATGTCGCATTGTCATGCGACCGAGAAATGCGCTGGGATCGCAACTCAGACCCTTGCCAAAACTGGAGGATGGGTTCGCTCCCTCGCAGGTGCCCTCCACTTTTGTGCTGCTCCCCATGAGTGCAGGGGCGGGGCGAGATTCTGTGCGTTCACGTTCGATATCGCTCGCAACCCCAGTGGTGTACATCGCGTGGATACGTCACCGGTGCCTCACGCATCTCACTAGGACGCTTGCCGACACTGGAGGGGGCGAGATGTACCAGTATCGATTGTCGCTACAGATGGTGACTAATACCTTTTTCCACACGCTAGAAATGTTCCTGTCTTCTGGCCGTTCTTTAGCTCGAACGGCGTGTAGGCCTCGACTATTACTATTTGCCGAGAGCATTTGCATTCGACCTTGCCCTCACAAATCGCAGGGTACGTGGATGTGTGACATCTCACTGAACTGCACTACGGTCAGACCTGGTCAGACTCACCGTGCAGGGTGCGGGCCCCCACTCATACCACTTGGCGCTACCGTAGTGATAGTGCCACAGGTTGTACAGTAGATCTTGGCTCTGAAGACATAGATATATGTATGAGTTCCTCCAAGTAGAGGTGCTTAGGCAGAGGTATAATGCGGTGATTGTGACTCTGGAAATATGGGCGTTTGGCACAGTGGTAGCGCGCCTGCTTTGCATTCCTTGCAAACTTGCATGAGGTCGAGGGTTCGAACCCCTCAACGTCCATAGTATAAAAAGTTACACCTTTTACCAAAGCTTTTTTGCTGTATGTGCGATAACAGATGTGGGAGCCTGAGAAGGACGAGAGCACGATTGATTGATTAACGGCCTGGGCCGAGCGAGGAAGATGTGCGTTTGCAGATCGAGCAAACAGAATTCCAGCGGTGCTTGGTACGGCATCAATGAAACTTTGGTGCTCTCATCCTCATCCCTGGCTCTGCCCAGAGCGGCATTCAGGGCGTATACTTAGCCCTCCGCTGCATCCTCCGCTCGATGCACTCCGCTCCCGCAGCCCCCATGAACGCTGCGTCCCTCCACGACCTCCCGGCATCGTCTGACAGCTTCTTGCTCCTGACAGCGCTACAGCACCCGGTGTGTCCCGCTATATAACTACAGCTTCCTCCTCATCCGACTGACGGTCGTCCAGGTCAACCTGCGTCGTGGACGCGTATAGCTAGCGCTGCTATCTTGTTATCTGGATCTTCTCGGCCAGGTTCGACGCCACTGCAGAGACATACACTTGTTACATGGCTGCCCTCGATCCGGAGACACCTGAAGAGCTCGCAGTAAAGACCGACTTCCGGGCAAACATCTGGTCGGTCTTCCAGGAGCTCTACGAAGACAAGTGGGACCAGGGTGCGTCTTCGCGTGTAGCTTGGGGGTGCGGCTCCACTGACCCTGTACCTTTGACGTCTGTAGCCCGCTGGAATAGTGCCGTCGGTGAGTGGACCGCCCGACGTGCTACACTCAGCGCCATACGTTCCGCTCACCGTCCGATACCCGCACAGCGCGATTCCGAGCGGCGCATGACCCCGTCATCGTACAGCGCTTCTGGGTGCGCGCGAAGCTGCCCGCATGGGACGCGCTGGAGGCCCAATTCAGGAAAGGGCCGCCGCCATTCCTGCGTCCGGGGTGGAAGAGCCCGCTGCTCGGGAAGAAGATCGACCTCCGGTGGCTCGACTCGGGCAAGTTCGAGCACGTCAAGGGCAGCATGGACGGCTGGTGGGACGCGAAGCTGCTCGTCATCGAGCTCTGGGCATCGTACGTCCTCACTCTCCCCTCGCTCTCTCGCTATCGCTGGCGCGCACCCGCGCTGGGGACGAGAAGCTGCGTGCGCGGGGCTCGAGCGCAGAGTCGCACCACACACCACACCGTGCACGGGCGCGCGTGCGCTCCGAGAGACCGAGGGTGGTGGGCAGCACGCCGCGCTTCTAGCCTCGAGCACGCAGTTTCCCGGGGACGCGCTTCGCGTCCGCGCGCGTCATGCATCTCCATCTCGCCACGGCTGTGTATCAGGGCGATTACTGACCCCGAGATCTTCTCCCGCCGCGTTCGCACTTGCGTGGGCCCGCAGGTGGTGCAGGGTACGTGCGATATGGGACATACACGGCTTAATTGCCTTTGGCTGACCGCGCGCGTGTTTCCCACTGCGCATGCGCGTCCGCTGGCAGCCGTGCCTCGCGGTCTTCCGCGACCTCTCGCAGCTGGCGCAGACGCGGCCGGAGATCAAGGTGATCACGTTCAACTCGGAGGGGATCTACTCGCACGCGCCGACGGACGTCGCCGCGGTCAAGGCGTTCGTCGCGGGGCGGGACGACATGAACTACCCGATCTACATCGATACGCACCGGGTCGCGGTCAACGGTGCGTGTGCACTGTGCAGCTGCTGTGCCTGGGAGGAGGGCGCTGACTCAGCGCGTCTGTCTGCAGCGATCTTCCAGCCCGCCCAGAATCTGTCCATCCCGCTAGGTACGTGCCCCCGTTCGCGAGCTTAATGAAACTCTCTTCGGCGACCGCGTCCCCACGCTCATCCCACGCGTTCCCGCCAGCGTTCGTCATCTCGCCAAAAGACGGCCTCGTCCGTTGGATCGGGAACCCGGAGGAGATGGCTGCCCCCCTCGAGGCTGCCCTCCGTGCCGCCTAGTCCTTCTCCTCCGAAAACCGCCTTTCTATCTCTCGCCTCTCGCTCTTCGTCTTGCATAGAACACCCGCCCTGTCTCAGTCCTGATATCACCCATCGCGGGCCTGGCCGTCCGCTGTACTCGACAAAGCACCGTCAGCATGTATTCTACCTCCGCAAAACGGAGGATGTACCATACCACATCCGAAAAAACATCGCTCAAAGAGCCTAGCTCTTTCTCCTTCCCGGATGATGCTCGACGGACATCTGTCCGCACACGATCGCAAAACCTTGTGCTCCCCGGCCGCCTAGGGTCTCGGCGGTTTGTAGGTGGTTCTCATCGCATGTCACACACGTATAACTTGACGGCCGGGACAGTCGCGTTGCGCACCTCCCAGACGCCCCGGTGGTTCTAACGCCACGCTCCTGACGTCCGCACGACGGCTTGGGGTGATCCAGGGACAAGCCCCGGCGAATGAACGCGTCCCAGTGCTCGATCTCCAGTCATGGGGAGTCATGACGATAGTTCAGCAGCGCGTCTGCGAACATTCCGGAAAGCGTGCTGCCGCGTGGGGAGGGCTCGCGTTCCACGATACTGTCGGACTCGCCGCTAGGTCGGTCGAGGGACGTCGAGCAGTGACGAGTGATCGATGGGCGGTACGAGCAAGTGCGACTTCGACAACGACGCGCGATCAGCCCGTTCGAAGGCCTTCATCTCCGGCGCGAAGGGTCAGGGAGAGACAGGCGGAATTGCAGAGGACGCGTCGGAGATGAGAGCCCCACATTGCAGGTCCGACCGCGGCCCCTGAATTCGAATGCCAACCCCGAAGAGAGACCAGAGGTGCGGCACAGCGCTGGACCTCCGAGTCTGCCATGCAAATGGTTCCTGCCTGGAAGCGAACGGTGAGCGGGAGGCGTTGTCGTCTGGCGTCGCGGCTTCGGCGGTCAGCTGGCACCTCGTTACACGGTCGTACACTGCAACCCATTCAGCGGCGCTCGTCGGGCGGCTTGGCTGAACGCTAAACCGGGTGCGTACCACGGTGGTCGCGACCAGAATGACTTCACACATTGCGTCGTCTGCATGATAGCGCGCCTCATATCCGGCGAGACCTGTCAGGCAAACGCATCAATGATCAATGTGTTCGGACGCACGTACACGCTAGACGGGCCCGTAGAGTTCGCCGGGGGTTAGCACACCAGTGTCTCTGTGGTATCTACAAATTCGATTTATTTTGCCGACTGGGACGCAGTCGCCTTCCGAAGTGCTTCTCCTTAGCGAGCTACCGGACGGGTAGAATTATCTGGGTGCTATGCGAAACGTAAGAGATCTTCGTCCGTTGCAACGAGGCTGCTTACCCAACCTCCAATCTTAAACTCAGTATGCGAGGGCCGATGAGAGGAAGAAGTGCCAGACCGGTTAGCGCTGACGCCTCCAGGATCTTGAGCGTGAGATACTGGCTGCTCGTTTTCTTGGACGCTGTCATGTTGCGCCTGAATGGAGGGCATCGATTGTTAACCGCTTATCCTTGAATAAAGGGAATACCTCCTTGTGTTTGGGTCCGGGGACATGTTTGACGAGATAGAATGGGCGGTGCTGTCTGCCTTCCGGGCCCTTCCCCATTGTACCATCCCCGGTTGCCTTGACGCGGACTTCGAAACAGCGCAGCAGAGGTTCCCAGGTTCTCGGACGCCACAGATTGTCCACCGCCAACCGCTCGGAACGGCGATTGCAATGAATCACCTCAGGCCTCAACGCTCAGCCGCAACCTTCGAGTATGACGCTGCGTCACGCGCCAGGATCTGAACCACCTGGCCGCTCTTCTCCGTGGGACCCGGGATGCGCCCCGGATTGCGCAGCGCGGTGTGGCCTGAGAAGGGTGCTGATAGAAGGGGGAATGGGGAGAGACAAGGTGCAATTACGACACGGAGCCGCACGCGGAGTCTGCAGGGGGACTTGTGGCCGGGATGGGCGTGATAGACAGCGATAGGCAGCTCGACGGGAAGCGAACAGGCGTGAGGGGGCTTCTGCCAGTGACGACGCTTGACCATATTCAACGCCCCGGCCTCCCAGATAAGCACCCGGTTTGCGATCCCTCGAGCGGCTCCGTGGGCGACAGGCGGTCGGCGTCGGTTTGATCTTCTCATGGGCTTCAACGGCGTCTCTGTATATTCACGACTGCACGCCACTGTTCGCGACTTGGCTTGCGCTGCATTCAGTGAGCGCGGCGTTTACGTAGGGCGCGGTGCTTGGTTGCATTGGCGTCTATGGTGATGGCGCAGCCATGAAGGTAACGAGATCATGACGAGGCGAATGCACGTTGGTGGTCATACAGCACAAACGTACGCACTAGTGTAAGGATGTCCATGGCTTTGAGACCGATCCATACGGCGGATTTCGGCATTCCGTCGACCAACAGAAGCACGCGGCCTCCCGGAAAGTAGGAGCCGAAAACAAACTAGGACCGGATGGGACATTCGTGGACGGGGCTTGGGTCGAGGGCGGGACAGTATCTGCGGGTTGTGAGTGTGGGGATACGGGATGATCGCACCCACGTCTCGAGGACGCCGACCAAGGCCGGTAATGCGACTATGGTGCAGGGCGCTTAGTCACCGCCTATCTTGTACAGTGGCAAAATCGGGCAGCCCACCCAAAAATGCGCGCCTAATCAAGCGTCTAGTCATAGACGCCTCGGTTATTTGGCAGAGAACGGCAAAATCGAGGGGGGTCCCCCAAAATATCTCCGTCAATTTTGAGAATTAGGACAAACGGCTTGACAGATCGTCTCCAATCATGAAAAGGAGACGATTGGTCAAGCCGATAAGCAAACGGGCAAAAATTGAGCGCTCAGTGCTCGTTGTACAAAATAGGCGGTGACTAGGTGCCCTGCACCATAGCAGAGCTCGTGATGATGCACGCACCGCGAAGAGCATGATGCGCACGCGCATGCGCACGACGTCGGTTCGCAGCGTTCAATCTGTCGCGATACGGTCATATTTTGCTCGCAGGTGTATGGTACGAGGGGGCGCGAAGCCTCGGAAGCCCTCCATCGATCGCCCTCGAGGCCGTTCGAAGCACGACGTCCGCTTTGTTTCCTTCGGGTGCGGT